ACACACATACACAATGATCCCCCCACACACACACAGAAACATACAATGCATTCCTACTCAGACACACCCGAAACAGACAATGCATCCCTTATGTTCACACAAACACTCATTCTCTTACACACAGAAACAAAATGCATCTCTTACACAATCAATGCACCCCTTACAGACACACACTGCATTTAATTAAATACACAGAAACACACCTTGCACCCCTTACACACACACACTCTTGTGAAACACAATGCATTCTTACACGCAAACACACACTGCATCCCCTATAAACACACTACATCCCTTACAGAAATTGGTATCCCTATACACTACATTCTATAAGAACACACACACATTGCATCCTCTACAATAACACATAAAACATCCCCTACTTACATACACTTTTTAGGGGCCCTAAAAAAATGGAGCTGCTTCCTGTTCGTTAATTGTTGTGAGCACTGTTACAAACAAACAGTCTCCTGAGAGCCTCTTCTACACCAGACCTGTGGAGCCAGACTGAGCCCATCATCAGCCTCTTGTCCTCATCTGGTGGTAAGTAGGCAATCCAATATATTATTAGTGGCACTAATCTCTAATTTACCGCACATTAAATGGATACTATAGTCACCAGAAGCACTACAGCATAATGTAGTGGTTCTGGTGTCTATAGCCTGTGCCTGTAGGCTTTTTAATGTAAACACACTTGTCTTTTCAGATGAAAGACACTTTGTGAAGACTGGCGTTGGCCCATATGGCAGAGCATATGGGCGGGGCATTGTGATGTCACATGGTGGGCAGGACATATGGGGGGGGGGCGGCAAATGTTTTTTTTGCCTAGGGCGGCAAAAATCCTTGCACCGGCCCTGCTTACTTGGCACACTGGGGCCCCACTTAAGGGCACCCGGATGCACTGGTTAGGGGTATCAAACAGTAAACACCTAACACTGAGCACCACACTGTGACAAGAAAGCGACCGTAGGGATAGCAATCACATACATGATCCACATGTTACTTAAGTACGAATAAGCAGCATCCCTCACCGGTGGCAGCCCTAGTCATAGACCCTACACTGTATTGTTTACTAAGAACATGGTCCTGAGTATCTAATGACACCTACCCACAACCGAAAGCATCTTACCTCCACACAATCTCAGAACCACGATTTTACTCTTAATCGCAGGCTTGGTCTTACTCATGAGCACTGACATGTCTTGTATAACATAGGAAGATCTCATCTAACCTCCGACATGCCCTATCAAACGCAGTAGATATATAAAAAAAAAAAAAAAAGTGCTGTATATTCGTTAATTTTTCTCAGTCACACAAATGCATGCTTGTTCATAACCTATTTCTGCTGTTGTGGCAGAATAGGTACTTCTGTACCATTTCTGCACGATTAAATAAAGAATAAAAAAAAATTAAAAAAAGCTGTGGATTAAAAATGACTAGACCCGGCACTCATAAAAAAGTTTATATTTGGAACAGACGCAGGGTAGATGGGCTCCGTGTTTACCCAGAGCAAACTGACGATTTTCAGCCACCTAATTGCCGATAATAACACCCAAACAACCCAGAACGACAATGGGAAGGAAAACTAAGAAACAAAAACCGGACCGACCCAAACAGGGTGCCAGCATAAGGGATCTCTTCACCCAAGCGCAAGGTGCATACAGCCCCAAGATGGCCACCGACCTCGAGGAATTCTCTGACTCCTCAGGGGATTTCTACCCAGAGGACGACACTACATTACCTCCAGAGAGACCCCAACGACCAGCACCAAGCATCGCGGCTGCAGAACCGGTGACGGCGATGCTGCTGAAGACTCTTCTAAGAGATTTGCAGAAAACCCTCCAGGCTGATGTCGCACAGCTACACACAGACCTCACGGGCCTGGTGGGTCGTATTGATGCAGTCGAAGTAGCCTCTACGCGGCAAGCACAAGAAATAACGGAGCTCAGGCAGGAATTGCAGGCGCTAAAGCAAAAACAGGCCAAAACTGACCAACGCTTCGCGGCATTAGAAGACGACAGGCGCCGTAACAATCTAAAGATCCGCGGGATCCCGGAGGACATACCTGAGGAGGAAATCCCACACCTCCTACGGAGGCTCACAGGAGCCCTATTGACGCCTAAGCAAGCCAGGAACATCGGCTTTGAAGTGGCCTTCCGGGTCCCGAAACCCCGGAGAGCCCCTGAGGCAGCCCCCCCGAGACCTGGTGGTGAAGTACAGAAGCGCGGCTGACAAAATGGCGGTACTCGCGGCCCTGAAGGGAGCAGCCACCTACAGCTTTGAATCGATGGTCCTGTCTTTCTTCGCGGACCTGTCAGGGGAAACTCTGCAGTGGCGCAGGTCCATGCTACCCGTCACCAAATTGCTCCGAGAGAAGCAGATTACCTACCGCTGGCGCACGCCACACACTCTACACATACAACATGATAACAAGGCCTACTCCATTTCGGACATACAAGAAGCACCCGCTTTGCTGCGCCTGCTGGGCCTACCTCTGGAGGGGCTACCGCCCATCACTGCACAGGAAGCATCAGCAACGGTTCCGAGATGGGATCCAACGAAGACAATCCCTTTCATCCCACGGGGAACAGGGAAACCCGAGTATGCAACAGTGACCACATGAGGGCCCAGCAACCGCACCGGGACATTCTTCCTCATTCCAGGACTGAAACTACGGGACTGACACCCGGGCTGAACAGTCTTGTACACCAATGATCTTTTTCTTTTTTATTTCTTGTTTCCCTAGTTTTTATTATTAGTATTAGCATTTCTCTTTTCAGTTTTGACTTTTCTGATATGCTCTCACATGTGCCTTAATTGCTGCCCTAGACACCCCATGATAGCCCTTAAGGGGACCGATTCCGGGACGCTATCACTCTCCCAAACCCGAGCAAGAAGCTCACTAAGCAGTCTCACTGCTACATTAACCTCCGTACCCACGTAGCTCACCGACAGAGTCCAGGACACAAGGAGCAGGTTTATCCCTTGGTCCCCACACCCGCACCCCCCCCCCCCACCCCAGGGTCACAGGGGACACTAACCCACTTGGCAGACCGCAAGCCTCTAGACACCCCCCAATAGACGATACTAACCTGGAAATGTTTTGCACCATCATTGTGGAAACTCCTGACTTTCACACACTTAAGCATGACTTACAGTGACAAGCCCTCAGGCTAACCTGCAGAGTAGTAGCCATACCTTAACGACAACAACAGCACACACAATGGGAATAGCAAACTGTGCAATACTTTAAATGGACACAAAGCGACGTAGTATGACAGTGAGGCACTAGCCTTATTGAATATATCACACTCGACTCACTGTCATTCACTTCAGCTAGGTTATAATATGCTACTGTTACTCGACACAAAAAAAAAAAAAAACTTGAGGCATTAACAATCTGGAAATGTAATTAACCAAATGTTTTGCTGTATTAACCCTACGATGTAACTCATACATGCATTTCCCTATCTCTGTTCTGTATCCCTCACGTATGCCTTACTAAAATAAAGAATTATAAAAATGACTAGACCCTCTTACATAACAAAATATATTAATATAACTCTTGTATTTTCAATATTTTATGTAAGATAACATTGGCAAAAAATGCTGTTAGGATTTTCTTTAATTTACCCAAAGAAGGATGATTAAAGGGTTTTGAAATTCTTAATCCAGTACAGTTTTTGATTGGGCTTGGCTACCAGCCTCAGTGTGAGTGTATTACTGGAAATTATAATTTGTGATTGACGCAGTGTCTTGATAAAAGTCTCAGGATTAAAACATTGATTTACCTACATGTACTTGAGAATGCAATAAAGTACAAAGAAAAAACTTTTTTTTTTTTTAAGATAAAGTCCTGTGTGTGTTGCCATTATTTTATTTCTACGACCTGGATGAGCACCTGGGTGTGAACAAGGTATCAATATATATTTTATTATTTAATGTTCCACTCCATGATAGGTCCACCTTATGTAGAATAGATCCTAGGAATTCTTCTTATTTATTTTTTTGTGTCTGATGATTCTACTGTTGTGGACCTCTAAATGCCAAGGGTTACTGCATGGCACTATGGGACTTGTAGTTCACAGAAGCTGAAGTGGTTATGAATTGTCTGGCTTGTGGAACTAAAAAGTGACAAAGTTATAATGTCATTACAAACTTCCTAATGCACTAACAATGTTACCAACAAGCAGATCTGTACTTCCTATGTAAAAGACTCCTGACAAACACCGAACAATGTTTTAACTTTAATGTCTCATAACCTAATCTCTTCAATACAGTAGAACATACTGAATATTGAAATAAGAAATACCTGGGGGTTCTGATCGTTTATGTCCCGTTCACACTCCCGAGCATCCCGATTGAGTTGTCCATTCACCTTTGGCTGCCAATGCCCATCTGGTCCACAGATCTTGTAGACGAAGCCATGCTGCACTGAGAGTGGAGCAAATTTATTAATGGTGCAGAGATGGGTGCATGAATGGGCTACACCAGAATGGGCTGATCTGTTGGTCTCCAGCTTTTGGGCCTCTACCCCATCATGGTCAGCCAGCTTCTGATTGCCCACCTCTGGAATAGTCTATAGGTTTTTGTGTGGAAGTGTAAACTCAATTGTGTGATGGCATCTTACCTTTCTTATACCAAGGCAGGTACCAGGGACAAGACATGTTGACTGTGGTATTGGGTAATGTGTCCGGCCAACATGCGAATTTATCGAATGTTCGGTTACAGACCAGATCTGGGAATATACAAAGAGAGGGTAACTTGCAGTGTCTGTATATTGAGTACATATATGGCTAGTCAGCTGTGAATGTGCATTCCCACACAGGTATATCAGTGTGTATTATTAAGCATTTACCCAATTGTCCCCAGATTATGTATGAACCACATCCTCTTGCAATGTAAGCCTAACAGACTGCAAGACATTACAGTTAGTCTGGAGTTATACGGCCAGCTGCATGCAATGAGTGCCCACAGTTACACTGCTAGATCAGGCTGTGAGTGCCAGTGGACAGGCAGGGATCAGGCAGTGAGTGTCCGTGTACAGGCAGCCTGATCAGGCAGTGAGTGTCTGTGAACAGGCTGCGAATCAGACAGTGAGTGCCCATGGACAGGCAGCCAAATCAGGCAGTAAGTGCCCATGTACAGGCAGTTCCTGTGGACATTAAGCTAGATCAGGCAGTGAGCCCCGTGGATAGGGAGAGAGTTCCCGTGGACATAAAGCTAGATCAGGCAGTGAGCACCCATGGACTTGCAGCTGGTTCATAAAGTGAGCACATGTGGATTTTCATCAAACGCCTACAGTCAAAGTACACCAACAACACAGCATTCAGTTATGATGACCAAAGTCCAGAAAGAAGGCATACACCAGTGCCAACACAGGCAGCTATAAAACACACTACAGCAAGTGCTGCGGCCCTTTAATTACCTGTTGGTGGTGGCACCAGGGACATGTTCAGCTTACACTCATTGTCATACTTCTTCCAGCTTTCCAACACTTGATCCGAAAGCTGAGCAGAGGAAATCTGAATAGAGAACACATGTACAGCAACTCACATCATATGAACACACGCATGGCTACTCACGTTGTGTGAATATACGCATGGCTACTCACATCATATGAACACGGATACTCATGTTTAGTATTAAACGCAACCTACGCTGTGACCAACATGGTCAATTACTACAGCAGACTTTACACAACGTGCAAGAAAACCTTGTTTCTCTCTACTTGACACACTTTTTGTGACCTAAATTTCAAACACCTGACAGGCCTTAATTATCTTTAGTACAGGACACAAACTTTCCACTCGCCTCTCGCCACCAAGGAGTAGAAATTTGCCCCTTGTGAGTGTGCAAGGGGCTCTCCAGGCTTGCAGTGTCAAGTAACTTTTCAGGTCTGGCTAGTAGCATAGAGCTTGCTGGAGTAACTGTGTCCTACTTAGTAACGAACGGCACATGGGGTCACAAATGCAAACAAACGACCAAATCAGTTACGGACATGTAGAGTTGGCTCTCAAGCAAACAAAGTCAGGCAAATTTTAACTTAGTCACCTGTACCGCAAAAGGTAAACCCCCTCTGGTATGCCATATTAAAGGAATACTCCGTGCCCCATAACCACTGCAGCTGCAGTGCAGGGCTCAGCTCATTGGATGAGAGTGGTCAGATGATGAGCAAGCCCTCCATTACAAGGTTTACATTAGGAGAGCCACTAGAAGTTCCTGTCTAAAAACTGAGCACCGCATTAAAAAGGTTGACACAGGTTATAGGCAATTTTCTGTGACAGTTTCCGTTTAAAGAGCTTTGAAAGATAGTCTGAAAAATGCTTAAAATGCTTAAAATATTTTCTGTGTGTGCATCAAGCCACACTTGCAAGATGCAAAAAGAAAAAGAAAAAAAAAAAGACATAACAGATCCACAGAATACAGAGTAGCCACGGTTAATTGAGGACTGTGTTCGCGTACCTGCCACTGCATTACTAGCACCCAGAGTAATCGAAGGAGGAGAGGATGGGGCATCCCGGAGCACTAGTAACCTCATCTGGAGAAATTTGTAGTCCCGCTTTACAGAGGTTACAGAATGAGCAGATGCTGTAGGAAAAACAAAACAAAAAAACATGAATGGGTGGCACAGATATTTAATTCCAATAATTTGTAACAGTTCATTCTGTACACACAATAGACCGCAATTCTCCTCTGCTTATAATATACCATGTCCTCTGAGTCAGATGTCCTAAAACCTGTGTGCAACATCCCAAAATATGATTTATGTTCCGGAGAAAACAATATGGAACGGCACTCAATCCCATCACTCTGTACCAGGGTGCAACCAAACCAGGTCCCAGTACCAGGAAACAAATTGCTCAGTGTTGAAGATGTAGATCAATTTATTAAACCCAAAGCCACATCACAATGTGTCAACCTACATGGTCTTTATCAAGCAGTTTGATGTGGCTGTGGGTTTAATAAATTGCCTTTTGTTGAACTTTGGAGTGCCTGGACCTATCTACATCTTCAACACTGAGCAATTTGTTTTTCTGGTACTGGGACCTGGTTTGGTTGCACCCTGCGCATCAAGGTGAATTAAGGAGTCCATCCTTGTAAGCAGCATGGAGGTGTCTCAGCTTTAGATATTTTCCCAATTTGTAAGGTGATCTGCAGACTTAAAGTGGCTCTGTCGCTTTATGCCTCATTTTTTTTTGTATTTCATAAAATCTTTCTGAAACACTCATATTGATTGTGTTGGAAAGATGAGGAACTGCCACAGGGAAAGGGGTCAGAGGAAGATATCCTTCCATCAACAAATTATCCTAATGGCCTTGAACAGACTCCCAAGGCAGCTAAACCTTTTGGAAAGTGAGTAGAGTGTTCTCTAACTGCACTGTCAGTTTATCCATTAGATAAATATCCTTTAGTTTAAGAATACCTTTTGCCCTAGATGGAACTTGGAACCATGATTGTCCTAGTGCTGTTCTTGCCACTAGAATGATCTTGTTTAGAAGTTTATGGTCATATTTTTCATTGGCCAAGACAGGAGGAATACCCAAGGGGTCCAGTGCAAGTTGCCTATAGAAGATGGTGGGAACCAGAGTGTGTATCTCATCCCTAAACCAACCTACTTTAGGGTAATTTCAATTTTTAACATACTTTACTTACTGTATTATCCTGCTATTTTGATTATTTATGCTGTGTTTGTTAACCTTCATCCATATTGCATTATATTATAGTAATGTTTGTTGTGAGCTCATATTGCGTTATATTAGAACAGTATCAGTACTCTTTTTTTGATGGCAAAATCAAAACATTTTACACAATTTTGTACCCCTCCTTTTTGAAACCTCCTATGGGTCATATCTCGGAATGGTCCCAGTCATTCAGAATTCACCATAAGAGAGAGAGGGGAAAAAAAAGCTAAAAAGGTATGGACATTATTCCCCCCCACCAATTTCAACCAATGCCAAGACTGGGACTACACATTTGAGAAAACATCTGTTGAGGTCACCAATTCTAAATAAAAGTCTAATCAAAAGTAGAACTGTGCCACACAACATTTACAGCTGCCCACACTGCTCAAAGTAAATAAACATTTCTAAATAAGTAAAATGAAGAAGCCATGGGTTTGTGACGTACATGGATCTAGATCAGACTGGCTCCTGGACATTAATAGCCCATCCACCAACACTGATGACAACTCTGCTAATGTCCATGATATTTTACCCTCAGGATCAAGGATTTGAGCCCCAAAGTTCAAATATGGCACCTGTCACAACGTCGACCACACAATCACACAGACCTACTATTGCCATTAATAAAATAAAATTAAAAAAAAAATTATATATATATAAAAATCTGAAATCATAAAATAATGTTCCAGAAATACTGTGATTAAGTATCAGTATGCTTGCTAGAAAGGTTTGGTGAATATGCAGTAAGATGCATCGATATAGATTACATAGTGCTTACACAGTCATTGTTGTTACATAACATTTACATTTTAACCTCAATGTGCTCTCAACAGAACGTCAAAAGGCAGGACACAAATGTCAGATAAACTTATTTTGATAACAGGTTTCACAGGGAGTCTCATAAATCACACAAGGCATGAGGCCAAGGGGATGTGGTGAAAATAAATATTAAAAAAAATTGGTAAGACAATGTCATGTAATAAGTGTAGATAGGCCATTGTATACAGGCGATGTTAGGTAAGGAGAAAGCCATACACACTGGAGGAGGCCATTGTATACAAGCTATGAGTAAGTTGGGTAAGGAGAAGGCCCAGACACTGGAGGAGGCCATTGTATACAAGCTATGAGTAAGTTAGGTAAGGAGAAAGCCATACACACTGGAGGAGGCCATTGTATACAAGCGATGAGTAAGTTAGGTAAGGAGAAAGCCATACACACTGGAGGAGGCCATTGTATACAAGCTATGAGTAAGTTGGGTAAGGAGAAGGCCCAGACACTGGAGGAGGCCATTGTATACAAGCGATGAGTAAGTTAGGTAAGGAGAAAGCCATACACACTGGAGGAGGCCATTGTATACAAGCGATGAGTAAGTTAGGTAAGGAGAAAGCCATACACACTGGAGGAGGCTATTGTATACAAGCAATGAGTAAGTTGGGTAAGGAGAAGGCCATACACACTGGAGGAGGCCATTGTATACAAGCGATGAGTAAGTTGGGTAAGGAGAAGGCCATACACACTGGAGGAGGCCATTGTATACAAGCTATGAGTAAGTTGGGTAAGGAGAAAGACTTGTAGGTCAATAGAGCTAAGCTAAAAAGCATGGAGGTTAAGCTAGTAGAAAATAAAATTAAATACAATTATGGCACAGGAGGGACCTTAAGGAAGATGAAGTGATTTACAAGACTTGATGGTTCCTTAAAGACTACAAAAATCTGGATTGTACGTTTTGGTTAGCCCCCCCCCTACAGCAGAAGTGTTAAAGTGAGAACTCTAACTTGAGAAGAGGTTCGTGCAGAGAGTGAGTGTAACGGATGTATTTTAATCTGATTTGAGCATTGTAATTTGTAATCAGGAAGAGTATTAGTCCCCCAAATCTCAGCCTGCAGAGCCATAGGCTCCAATAAAACAAGAGACTTGATGATTAGGCAGAATAAATCCTCTCACATTTTTACAAGTAATCCGTCTACGGCTTGTGTTTGTTAAATAGAGACACGTAACGTTTTCACAAACTCTCTGCAGCCCCAGGGGCTGCATTCCTGCTTCAGATTGCGACACAGACACCTGCAGCCAGAAATAACCTTAAATAAATACATGTTCTAAGTAGAAGCCCAGTTTTATATTGTGTTGTATAGAAAAAACAAATGTGTGCTTTGGTTTTTGTCATTACAATAAGCTTACTTTGATAAACTTGAGCTCATTGCTATGTTTATAGTGATGGCCAAGCCAAAATCTAGCAGCAGAGTCAGTGTGGGAAACCCACATTATTCGAGTGACAGAGTACACATACATTGTTGGAGTTTGAGACGCTTCCCTGCTCAAATCACTATATAACCTCGTCAAGTTCGGGAGTATCTCTCCCTGTTGTGTGTAGTGCAGGGCTTGACAAACGTGCCTGGAATCTAGGAGCCAACTAAAAGAGATAGAAACTAACAAAGTATTATTTACAATGATGAAAATACAATTCCGAAAGGGACATTATAGTCACCAGAACCACTACAGCTTAATGTGGTTGTTCTGGTGTCTGTAGCATGTCCATGCAGGTTTTTCAGAGAAAAAGGCAGTGTTTACATTGCTGGCTATTAACACCTCTAGTGACAGTCACTCAGATGGCCACTAGATGTGGTTATTAGTCCAGTTCTGCACGGTCAGTGCCTCCACGCTCTGCATGGAGGCGCCAAATGTTCCCCATAGAGATGCATTGATTGGATCCTAGGAGAAAGTCTAATAGAACGCATTCCACAAAAAAAGTTGCAGCCCCAGAGAAGTCCTGTAGATGAGAATTAGCAGAAGAAGACAAGAAAAAGGTCATTGGTGGAGCGAAGGGAATGAGAAGAGTTTATTTGTGGGTTAGAGAGGAAATATAATGGCACCAGCATTTATAACAGATTGTAACGGGACTTTGTGGGGAAAGCCAATGCTGAGTGAGTTACAATAATCAAGGCATGAGATGATGAATGAAAAAGGTGGTAGGTCCATGTATCATCAGCATACAAGCGATATTGAAACCCAAAGTGCTCAATTGGTAACACAGAACTTGGGATATTTACTAATCGTCTCTCAATGGCCACATTCAATGTGTTTGGAGTGTTTTCAACACATCACTTTTCTGGCATATAACAGAAAAAAAAGAAGGGCATATAGTGTTATTAACCCAACAGGTGAGTATAAAAATGTCACGCTACAAAGCCAAAAAAATTACATAACCTACAACAACATTATCACTGTAAGAAATAAGTAAAGCAGCGTGCAATGAAGAAAAAAGGAGGTGGGGGAAATATTAAAGAAAGAAAATTGCAATTGTGCCCCTTGGTGTTTACACGTATAAAACCCATTCGGCATTCGGTTATCTTAGCACATACCATCGGAGTGCTGAAGCAAGAGAAAGACCAAAAGAGGATCAAGCAAAGTGTTAGAAATAGCGTCATTATTTAAACATCTCACCCAATGTTTCAAAAAAATCTGACACTGTTTATAATTGGAAAAAATCTACTGTTAAAGGCAGTTTATAAAGTGCTACTGATAGTAACAGGGGGAACAAACGGATTCTAACTTTAGCCCTACTAATGCTCGCTGAGTACGTAAAACGTGCTGCGATGCATACCCTCACTGAGAGTTATGGGATTTGACGACTGCGTTCCCAGTCGGACCTTGTCCAACTATAGGCACTGCATGGCATTGTGACAGCTAAAGGTCATATGGAAAAGGCACTCTGGTATTAGGTTTCTCTGACATGCAGATCAGCAGTCACACTACAGCATAAAGGAAATGTTGTGTACAGATCAATTCTGGGGCAAATTCCATTTGTGGAACACTTGTCAGGAATAAACCACTGTTCTCCACTGAGATTGCTCAGATTTTAGAACTTTGCCCCGTGTACTGCTCTGTAAATATAACATCTACCACCTACTACTCCACAAGTCCCCAATCCCTGTGCTGCCCACCAGTATATTAACATTATCATCCAATTAAATGTCGTGTCATTTTTACAACACAGACACTCGTATAGCCAAATTATTAGCAAATGTGTTGATCATATTCAACAACAGCACACTATGAATCGGCACACATACCTCCAAAGCAAAAAGCAGTAAGCACACGTTTGATAAGATCATTTGATTTAGGCGTACAATGGCTATTTTACTTTCCAATTATACTGATGAACACAGATATGTCAAGTTTTTATTGAGAACGTAATAAAAAGCCACAGGTTTTCAAACTTTGTGTACTTTAGAGACTATCTCACGAGTCGCTTGCTTTGAGGATCTCTAAGGCTCTTGTGCCTAAACCCTCCTGAGCCAATCACATTATACAGCAACTGAGACCAATTCACAATCTAATTTTGCAACCAGGAAGACAAGCCCATGATTTTAAATACATTTGTACAATTACTTGATAGTGGGACATGTTAGAAAAATGTGGAGGGGTGGGGGGAGGGTAACAAAAAACACCATATACATAAACCTAGGGAAAGAATTTTATTATGTAAAACGTAAGCACACGACAGGTCAGCTTTAGATTGTTTTAATTATTGCATATTTAATAATTCCTCACACATTTTGTGTGTGACATTTCATTGCTCTCTAATGCGTTTCAAGTCTACGTAGAAATATTCAATGTTGCCAAAATCGTGAAGAATTCCATAAACAGATCTGTATGTATGTAAGCTTTAACCAAAGACAAACAACGTATTTCCTTTTTGTGTACAGTAGGATTACAATGTATTTTCTCCTATGTTATTCCAATGGCCCTTTAAATAAAAGGGGGATAATCTGATTAATAAGGAGACTGCAGCGGGGGGAAATCTCAGGAAAAGGTCACGACACGGGCTGCTACCTTTTACAGTGCGCACGGGAAACAGTTATAATTGCTAAATAATTACAAGAGTTTTCAGTACCAAGTATGACCTCTGATCTCTCGGTAGCTCAGTATCTGAAACCAAAGCAGCATGCCACGACACCTGTAGAGATGAAAAAAAAAGATCGCTGAACTGCGTTCAGTGCACATTCCGCAGAGATTAAGGGGACTGCGGCGCCTGACTGCCAAGCACACATTAGCAGAACATCCTGTCACCCGATTACACTGTAACCCTCTTTTTATAACCAGGAAATCTAAAACATAGGACTAACTCGGGTGTCTGAGCATTCAAAATGGCCTACAGTGGCGTAACAAGATCATCTACTGTATTGTGATAATGCTCATGCCAATGTACGTACAGGGCCCCAGATTTACATCGTCTGCCTGTAAAAACAGAATTCTCAAGTGCCCCCCAATTCTCCCCCTTCCCCACAAAACCAGCAAAAAAAAAAAAATATATATATATTTACACTTGTAGTATATTGTGTTAGCACCTGTGAGTATAGTAAGTGTATGTAACTGTGTAAATGCATGTCTAGATGAAAATGCTTGTTCTTGGGTAGAACATTGGCTTAAAGGACCACTCTAGGCACCCAGACCACTTCAGCTTAATGAAGTGGTCTAGGTGCCAGGTCCTTCTAGGGTTAACCCATTTTTTCATAATTATAGCAGTTTCAGAGAAACTGCTATAATTATGAATGGGTTAAGCCTTCCCCCAAAGCCTCTAGTGGCTGTCTCATTGACAGCCACTAGAGGCGCTTGCGTGCTTCTCACTGTGATTTTCACAGTGAGAGCACGCAAGCATCCATAGGAAAGTATTGTAAATGCTTTCCTATGCGACTGGCTGAATGCGCGTGCAGCTCTTGCCACGCGTGCGCATTCAGCCCAGGAGGAGGAGAGGAGGAGGATC